AATATAGTGGTGGTGGTGTATTTAATTATGGCAAAGCACACTAAGGCTATCTGCCTGAGGGATGCCTTCGTGGAAGACTTTCTAAGGGAAACTGGCTCGTATACACGTTACACATGGGGAAAACCACGAAAACACCCATGCAGCCAGCCCGTTCGAGGGATTCGAACCTCGAACCGAACTACCAGTGTTCAGCGACTTTACCGCTCGGCCGCTGGTGGGCCTAAATTAATACGAGTCTGCCGTGTACAGCATAAAGCAAAAAACGATTGCGTAAAATTGTCACAAACAATAGAATAACTGAAAGAAAAACTTTCATTGGTGTGTGAGAATTAAGTGAATCAACTAAATATTCATAAAAATTATGATTATGATTTAATGGAAAATTACATTTATGTAGTTACTAACATATTATACATATATGAAAGAATTCGATATTTTCTACTCGAAAATGAAATTTATTAACGACCGTTATTTCCTCCTAACATAACTTGTAGTTCCTCATTTTTATTCCTCCTAAAGTTATAGTTATTGAATAATGATCATAACATCCTAAAATTTTAATAAATCAATATCAGTACATTTGGTATTTAGTTATCAAATAAACTATGGAAACAAATGGTTTTTTTTTTTTTTAATTTTTGAAGAAGCTTTAAAGTTTACACAACTTTCGAGAAATTTCGTTAACATACAGTTTTTCAGGCTGGTAAATTCGCAATGAAGAAACCATTAATGAACTTAATATTTTATTTATTAAAGTTTTTACCAGTTTTATCAAAAGAAACCACATTGGTCGAAAGGAAGGGGTTACATGAAAAATTTAGCAATGTAACCATTATATGGCTTACCAAAGGAAAAATTGTGCATACAAATTTTAAAAATATGGCATGTTGCGTCTTAACAAAAGACAAAAGATATATATGGAAATTTAACAGTATGAAATAGACGTAATATTCTAAGGGAGTTTTTTTCGTATCTAAAATGCGCATGCGGAAATTCTTGTCACATTCTTTACTTAACAGCCTTCATTTTTCTTAATTTTCACAGTTCCGTGTGGAAAGGTAAATAATTTGTGTGAGTGGGTGATTAAATAGTAAATTAAATAGCTAGATTAAATAATTAATAAAAAGCACTCGACGACTATAAATCTGGCAGTATAAAATGAAAACGTAGGAAAGTTAGAGAGGTGTATAGGGCAAAATATGAAACTGTAAAAGTCACTTCATTTGATTGGAGGGAAGAATGAGTAGCTAATTGGAATGCTAACTCTTTTTACCCAACCACAGTGAGAAGTAAATATAAAATGACACTTCCAAATTATATTCCTAAGTCCCCTTTTGTTATCTTTCTGCTTACTGTAGCTCAACTATATATTGGATTTGAATTATTATTGAAACTAAAGCCTCTGATTTACAGTTTGCCGCATTGAGTTTCAAAATCTTTTAAAAATTTGTTGTCAAGGTTTGTTGTCAAGTCATTTGTTTAGAAATCTAAATTTATTTAGAAATCAAAATCTTTAAAATGAAATGAATTTTGCCATTTGTTTAGAAATTTTGTCATTTGTTTTGTCAAATGACAAAATCAAATAAATTTTGTCATTTGTTTAGAAATTTTGTCATTTGTTTTGTCAAATGACAAAATCAAATAAATATTGTCATTTGTTTAGAAATCAAAATCTTTTAAAAATTTGTTGTCAAGGTTTGTTGTCAAGTCATTTGTTTAGAAGAAGCAGATTATAGCACTACATTAAATTAATTTTAATTCTTATTACCTGTGTTATCCATTCCTCTTGTTGAAACGAATGATAACTGTTCTAGTTTCTGGCACTTTGTATTTAAAAAATATTTTATTTTTGTAGATCAGAAATACGAGTAGCTGTTCGAAACTAAAGGCTATATATTTAAATATGAAATGCTCATGACGGTAAAAATGTAAGGTCAGAACTCTTTTTTATGACACTGAATGCTCTAAACTAGGGTTCTCAACCTTTTGACTTACACGTGCCATCTAAACAAAAATCGAAAAACTTATGTACGACACCACTACATTTTACAATGATGACTTTGCAGTTTCTCAATAGAAATATTTAAAAAAAAAAAATAGTTTTCATTTGCACAACCTATTGGCTATTTGTGTTGCACAGCCTATTGGCTATTTTGTGCACACAAAAAATATTATATTAAAAATTAGCTACCATTTTAATTATCAAAATTTAAGTTATAATACTTTAATATTAAATTTTAGTGTGAAATTCGGGACTGTTTAAGAGAGATCAATTTCTGTATATGTCTAGTCTTATTTCACTTAGTTTTAACCGTAAATTAGAATCCATTTTTAATCTTGTTCTGTATTTATTTTTCAAATATAACATGGAAGAAAATCCATGTTTACACAAATACGTTGTGCAAAAAGGCAATAAAAATTTCATGGCTTTATTTAAGATGCTTTTATAATCTTTTTTCTTCTTTTCAATATTTTAGTTTTAGTAGCTTGTCTTAGATCACCTATAAATCATCACTTCTGTGCTTAGTCAATTCTAACCACTTTTCCATTTTGAAAATCTACGTTTGTTTCATTATTTTTTAACAAGCATTTAAATGAACAATTTAATATGAGTTCTTCAAAAACAAGCTACGATATTCTCCAATCGTGTAGAAAAGTAAGGAATACAAAGCAACAAGAAGACAAAATACCTGCTGTTAGAGACAGCAAATCGACGTAGAAAATATTAGTCTAATTAAAAATAAAGCAAAATGAGCCCGGAAATAGTAGGGATAATAAAGTGTAGCTACACCAACAAATCGATCAACTCTAAAAGAATTAATGAGATACTGTTATCTTTTTATAGGAACTTATTTCTATATCCTATTAACTATTACTCCTTCTAAAAACATAATTTATGACAAATTTTGTTACGTCTATGGTTAAAACAATGTTAGTGAAAATAAAAACTGATTATTTTGCTAAAGTCTCTGAGCGGCTTTGACCTTGAACAAAGCTCAGATAGCATAAATTTACGAGTGTTAGAAGAAAACAAACTCAGGATGTTGGGTATTTAATTTTTGAATTTAATAGTTAAAAATGCTTTGTTTCTTTTTGCGTATCACTTATTTTTCTCCCGCGTACCACCAGTGGCACGCATACCACCGGTTGAGAATCGGTGCTGTAAACTATAGAAGACAAAAAAACTTATATAGATTTTTAAACTTGGAAAATGTTTTGCAGAAACTAGTCTGTTTCGACGTATAGAAGTCTCACTCCTTTTACTCATTGAGAAGACGCGGAATTACATCATTCAATATTTAATAATGATAGTGTAAAATTACTTTTAATCAAAACTCACTTACCTAAAGTGCAAGCGTATGGTTAAAACCATCAAACATAAATTTTAAACCTTGAGAGAAATGAGATGCGTGTTTATTGTGCAGAACATTTAAAAATAATATGTTATTTATTATTTGAATAAAATATTATTATTGAAGCGAAGTTCTGTAATAAAGCATTTTTATTTAAACCTCAGTAATAGTTTTTAAACTGTGCAATAATAACATTTCATTCAAAGAAATATTATTGTATCGTTTAAATGGAAATACTTCATTATAGTATTGTACCTACAAAAACAAAAAGGTTTGCTTTGCTGTTTCAGGTTATCTTACGTCTCAGAGAACAATCAATGAATCTCACCAGCTGATATACTGCTTTTGAAACGTTACATAAAATAAAAATAATTTGAATTAGTCTCTCATAAGCGTTGTGAGACACCCATCATATTAAATAATTATTGTAATTGGCGTGTTAGGGGCAGTTAGAATTTAAAAAAAACAACGCATCATCTGTCAGAATGTGAATGCGATAACAAAACATTATGAATTTATATCTTCTAAATTTCAAACAAATTCTTTTTCAAAACGGTGTCAATTCGATAAGAGTCTCAAGGTTTTTAAATTCAAAATATGCACTTTTTTTAACCTCTGCCAGAACCAGAACACTTCAGCTTTCACTCTTGAAGCTCCTTAGGTTCATATTAATAATGTTTTCCTGTTCCGTTTAAAAGGAATTAATCTCTTAATTCCGAATTTCAGTAAATTAAAATCTAGAGAAGAATGAATGCGTACATTATTGTTAAACATAACAATAAAATCAGTACTTCATAAAGTTTGTTTCAGAAATCAAAACGAAAACTTAGGTTTGATTTTTTTTACACCTTTTTCGTCAGCTAGGTGAAAAGGACAACTAATCAAATTATTAGCAGTTTGCTGCATGACAGTTATATAACATTTTCTTCAATATGTTCATAATCAATGAACCAAAGTCTGTTTCTTTTTTCGTATACTTTTTGCAATATTTGAGGTCTAACGTAGTGAGGAAATATGAACAAAAAATTATTTTGTCATACTAGCCATTAATGCTTTGTTTCCAGCTTTAAGTAATAAAATTTTCATATTTTATAATAAATAATTAAATTCTAATTCAAAAAAAAAATTCTAAAAAAAAAAAAAAATTTTTTTTCGGGGGGGGGTTTAAGAGCTAAAAAACTTCGCACCTTTTGCATTTGTAGTGCGAAATAGTAAAACCACTGACCAGTTCATAACATTCAGCTTTATTTTCATAAACTCATATTTTTTTCAAAAAGCATTTATGAAATATAAATATTACCATATTTAATACAGTATTATGTTTTTAATTTGTGCAGCTTATTCACATTTAAAATTTTGATAGCGCTGTGCGTATAAATGTGAAATGCGTCTAAAGATTTCCATTCCATTTAATTATTAAAATAACTAATTTCTACATTGAAGTTAGGAAAAAAATTAAGAAAAAGTATTTATCAGTAACACAGTATTAAAACAAATAAAAAATAATTGAATTATAATTAAAGCATGTAACTTATTATTAAGCTTATACTTCTAAAGATAATCAAGAAATCAGGTTTTTCGGATTATAAGGCAATCAGAAATATAAAAATGCATAAAATAAAAATAAAACTATTTTTAGAAGCATACTTTTCTTTCTGCGTGCGCACAGACTCGAGGCGAAACAGTCACAAAGAAGATGAGGTCAAATACATGGAATCTCCAAGGATTTACGTCACTTTCGATACAAAATGAAATTTCAGTTGTAATATTCAGCAAAAGACTGGGACGAATTTTTGCTATCCGCTACTGGTACAAAAGTGCGGGTTGAGGCTTATTTCATTATCAGTGTGTGAAAATAGTGGTAGTCAATGGTAGATTGCTGAAGATAAGTCCTAAACTGATCAGAATAAAAGCAATAAATAAATCAATGATTGGGCGAAGTCAAAATGCCTTTTACCGTAAAATCTTTCAGGAAATGAATTAGTTCTAACAACACAGATACAGAGACAGTTTTCACAAGCCACACTTCGTAACGTCATTAAATTCTAATATTAAGAAATAATCTTTAGGTGAATAAATTGTGTGAAGGATGCAGTTTTTTGTAGACAAAATTTAACTAAAAAAATTTTTCATCCATCAGTTCATTAACTTTTAATTTATCATTTCGAAACACATTAAGAACATTGATTCATTTGATGACTCAGTTTAAGAACAGCCATCAGCAATTGGTACAATGAACTTAAGTGACACTTTTTATATCTGAATTGTTTCACCTGTTTTTAATATTAACATTTACCGAACTGAGTACGCTTTTTATATTACTGAAAGTGGTTATTTTATGGTAATATTTATGTGTTGCTCAATATGAAACATGACCAAATATATTCTTTTATGAAAAGTTTCGCCTTCATACGCGTGCTTAATAGGAACAACGTAACCCTAGCTGTATGATCCATACATCATCAAAGAGCTAGGTGGAAAAAAAGGAGTTTTCTCAATAACACCAAAGCAGAAAGTTACACGTTCACACACACACCAACATCTTGGAATATGTATAGCAAATTCCCATTTTTTTTTTCACACTTGCAATACAGGTCTTGGGAATTCAAAATATAACTATATTTTTGAACTCGAGCTGTGCAGTATAACTGTTGAAACTGAATCCACATTTTTGGACTGGAATATTCTAAAACGAAATCGTCAACAATATTCTGGTCCAATGAGCCAACCTATCTTCAGTGCACTGAATCCAGAAATTGTAAATGCTGATTTAACGAAACAAATGTATTTTCTCTGTGTAAATAGTCAAAACAAAAATGTGAAGGAATGTATTTTGCAAAAAGTGGAGTTAACCACGCGGAGTACTAGCAGTGCGCATCTTGCGTAGTGAAAAGACACTTGGCGGTTTTAAAGACCGTTGCTTGTTGAAAGGCGGCGAGAGTCTTTACACGCGATGTTATAAACATGGGAAACTACATGGATCCCAGTCCGAAATGGACTCACAGAGCAGAGTAAAGTGATATCCTTATCCTTTGACGATCAGAAGAGTTCTGGAAAAACGTCGGCTCTTTCCCGGCGAATCGCTGACGACGAGAACAGAGCCGCTCATCTTGGTACATATTTGGTCTTGAAATATTTACATATTTGTTCAAAGATAATTTGTAAGGTTGGCAGATTGTGGGTAAATATATTTCGTATGCAAACAGTCCGGAATTGTCATTATGTTGCGGCTCCTAGATTCCAGTGCAAACACTGACAATCTTCGAGCAATATTTGGTTTAGAAATAAAAGAGATAATTTTGCCCGGGACGAAGAAAGAAAACACGCATAACCACGCACACACTCACACACACACGCTGCCTGGCCAATCAGATCTTGGGAGTTGGGTAAACTTTGGATACTGTGGGATTAAACAAACTCGTCGGTTGGGCTTGGGGGCAATTGTTGAAATAAAAGAGAGAGAGAGAGATACAAATGCTTACAACTGAGCTTCGAACGAAAAATAAGAACTTTTTACCACTAAGTATACGGTCGAAAAACTTTGACTTCTTTCATAAGCAGCGATGTAAAAAAAGAAAAAAAAGAAAAAGAAAAAAGGCGATATGGATAGGGAGGGGGAAATGTTTCTTGTTGCTTTTTTATTAATTCCCTTTTCTTAAATGTCGTATAAAACAGCGCCAAAAGAAAAGCAAATAGTGATGTTTGTCTACCGAATAGCGTTTCCATAAGCCCGTGAGATAAACGAATCTTCAAAAAGAATTTGTCAAATACGAAGAAACCTCTTATTCGAAGAAGATTGGTTAAAAGGGGAGGGAATGGACAAGAGTCATAAGATGCAGGAAGGAGGGAGGGAATTCTCCAGAATAGGTCTCAATCGATAGCGAGTGAAATAAAACGTTCTCTTTTCATTAATCAATGGGAATTAGTATTTGACGTCGATTTCTTGCAAATGAAAAGCGTTAAGGGATAGAAGGAACGAAATAAATGAAAGAAAAATATTTCCAAGAAATTAAATATGCATCGTTCTTTGAAGAATAGCTTATTATTTTTCCACTTCATCTTTTTTTATTATTAGTAATATTTTCTTTACTTTATGCGTTTCTATTCGTTTTTATTCAAATGGAGCGTAACTTCAAGTACAGTAATAAAAAAAGGGAACTGATTTTTTTCCCTTTCCCCTCGGATAGATAAAAGAGATTGGTTCTAATTACCGAAAATAGAGTTTTAGCAGCAGATTTGTGTAAACACGATGCAAATGTGAAATGCGAAACACGAAATGAAGTAAAGATTTATTTATTTAAATAAAATTCTGAGTACTTTAACACCTATTTTTTTACATCGTTTTTCATCAAAAGCTTCTAATTTAATCATATTAGCTTCATTTTTTTTTTTTTTTTTTTTTTTTTTTTTTGTAAAGAAGTCTATAAAAATTACAGATATCTTAAGCAAATCAAATTACCTTATAGTGTGACTATGTCAATCTCAATTTTAATATAAAACTCAGCGTTTTTTAATACACACTATTTGTAGTCTGCAAGATATACTACCTGTGTACCTATGCATTATAAAAACATATTTATTTAAACTCATAGGAGGTATAATTTAAGAGACAAGGACACATTTGAAAGATGATAGCATTCTTGAATGAGATTTAAAATAGTCAATTAAGTCTTAAACTAAATAACTTACCTCAATTAAGCCAGAATTTCCTAGGCGTAAGTGTAATTTTGTTTTATGATTTTGTATAAATAGACATTAGATCATTCACGTCTTATTTTAACAACGACGTTTACAACTAAAAATGTTTGCACTGGAATCGATACCAATTTATGCACACTCCCAAATTATCTAGAAAGAAGTGATACTTGCTTATAAGGTATTTCTCCCACTTCCCCAGCGGGCCTTCGTGGTGTAACGGTGGCACGCTGGGCCGGTATTCCAGAGGTCCGTGGTTCGATTCCCGGCGAAGGCGTTGTTAATTTTTCATCTTGCTTCTTTCCAAAAAATACCTAATGTCCCTACAAGTGGAGCCCAAACTAAAAAGGGTTGTGGATGATGATTCTCCGCACCCAGGATTTGGCGACTAGGTCCCCTAAAACCCTATTCACCCTTTAAAAAGAGGAGTATATAAGGTATTTTTCCCACTTTCCTAGCGTCCTTCGTAGTGTAGTCGTTCTGCACTCTGGGCCGGTATTCCACAGGTCCGTGGTTCGATTCCCGGAAAAGATAGTTGCTAATTTTTCGTCTCTTCGGCTTCCAAAAAATCCTAATGTCTCTACAGTGACGCCCGAACTAGGGTTGTGGATGCTGACTCTCTACACCCAGGATTTGGCGACTAGGTCCCCTAAAACCCTAGTCGCCCTTTAATAATTATATAAGTAGTAATAAGGTATTTATAAGGAGTATATAAGGTATATATTCTTAAGAAGTATATAAGGTATTTCTCCCGCTTTCCAAGCTTCCTTCCTGGTGTAGTGGTTCTGCACGCTGGGCCGGAATCCAGAGGTCCGTGGTTCGATTCCCGGAGAAAGGCGGTTGCTAATTTTTCGTCTCTTCGGCTTCCAAAAAAATTCTAATGTCTCTGCAGTGGCGCCCGAACTAAAAGGGTTGTGGATGATGACTCTCTACACCCAGAATTTGGCGACTAGGTCCCCTAAAACCCTAGTCGCCCTTTAAAAAGGGGAGTATATAAGGTACTTATCCCACTTCTCTAGCGTGCCTTCGTGGTGTAACGATAGCACGTTGAGCCCGGTATTCCAGAGGTCCGTGGTTCGATTCCCGGCGAAGGCTTTGTTAATTTTTCAATCTCTCTTGCTTCCAAAAAAATCCTAATGTCTCTACAAACTGAGATAATGCAATGAAGGCAGCAACTGTAATATTAGCCAAATTTTGAGGTATTCGTATCAGCCATTTAATGAATTCGATTAAATTTCTCATCAGACTAACTCGTGAAAAGTCCTTATTAAATTCTCAAGGCATTTAATGAGTTTGTGTAAGTTTTTATATAACATTTGGCCTTTCATTACTTATTGTAATTCTCCATGAAAGTTATTTTAATAGAAAGGAATAATGAACAGCTACTTAGATTTTATCTGAGCTAGAAAAAACTGTTTAAACATATCGTTTGGGATGCTTTTCACCGCTGCCTTCTATACCTCTGTAACCCTTTTTTGAATCTGAAATTTATTTTACTTATAAAAGCAACAACTTTTTCCAATGTTTCCTTCTCTGTTTGTTTAATTACATTATTTGACTTTAAAGTCAAAAGAGTGTGTGTGTAATACAATCTAGTAAGTATGTAAAATCTTCATACGTATATTTTCTTTGCTAGCTGCATAATTAGTTTTCGTATTTTGTCACATGTGCAACGTTAATACAAGCCAGTTTCGCTTATAAATTCCTCCTCAAAATCATCCCTTCCTTTTAGAAAAATATCACAGATTAAAGCATGTGTTAATATAAGGACTGGGGATGAGAAGCATCTATAGTGGTTTTCTGCATCCGCTTTTGAACGCGGTTTATACATATATTATTATTCTTTATTCTATTTTTTCTCTCATTCTTTAATTTAATTTGGGTACTTCCCCTTTCTATCTTTAAAGTAGGAGCTATTTATAATATATCAATTTAAGCTATGTCATTTCAGAATTAACCCGCGTCATAAAACCTTAAGTAGCGCTGCAATGGAGATACCTTTTATTTAATCACTGAATAAGATTTTTATTAAGAACCGAAACTTTTTGACCAACTTTCCCACGCTTCTTCTGAATGCGTCACTTTTCCATTTTGCCGCTGTCTTGCAATTTGGCCCCGCTTGCTGTTTTCAAAAAAGTACATTTAACAAGTCTGTCGGTACAAGAATAATAACTAGGACCAGATGCACGGTAAGAAAAGCACATATTTTGAAGCAAGAGACGTCTTTATAAATCACGGATTTTACAGAATCACTGGAAATATACGTGGGAGGGAAACATTGACATGATTTTACTTCTCTAAAAGATTCTAGTGTCTCCATAATCATCCCTGGTGTCAAAGCTGGAAGGGTTAAAATATGTTCCTGGCAGAGTGAAATTAGTGTAGAGCCCTAATTATGCAAATCAGCTTGTAGAGACATTAGAATTATTTCGAAGCAGGAGACATGAAAAATGAGCAATGCCCTCGGCGGGAATCCAACCACGGACCTCTCGAATACGCACCGAGCATGCTGACCACTACACTACGAAGGCGGGAGAAATAACTTATAAGCTCCCCTCTTATACAAACGGGGCTGAACGTTGCAAAAAAAAATCACGATATGTGAAGTAGTGTTAATTTATATTGCTAGCTAAAGAGAACTTAAGAGTTATTAAAAAATTCTCAATTTATGAAGCTGTGTTAATTTATATTGCTAGCTTAAGAAATTATAAAATATGCTTATATATATGAAAAGGAGAGAGGAAGAGAGAGAATGAAAATAGCAAATCAATAATAATATTTCCATCGCTAAAAACTTCTAGAACATAATTTTTGTGTATGTTTGCTGTGCTCTGTTTTTGTTCCAAAAGAGAACTGGGTAAATTGTTTATTATTATAAATTTCTATGGAAAATGAAGGTATTTCTTTCGGCCCGCAGCGTTTTAAGAGCAAACTTAAAAAATAGTTTATTCGTTATGAATTGCGGATCTAATTTTGTTTTCGATTATAAAATTCAGTTTCGCTGAAGAAGAAACTACTTTCTCGGCCTTGCTTATTAAATGTTTCCATTTCCTCTTTCATTTCGTCAACATTTACATCTTAGACATAAACTGTCCCATGCATTTTCCTATTTTCATCTTTAGATTTGACTGCAGCTTTAAGTTTAACTGGGGTATAATGATTTAATTCGTTTCTTTTCCATCATTTCGTAGCTTATTAATGTCGTTGTATCAGCAAAATTAGAAATTAATCACAAAGATATGCTGTGAATTTTATAGCCAAAGAAATTAGGAAAGCAATCATCTCCTACTTCTTTTTATGAAATAATTTAAGCGAATACTATTTTAAAATCTGCAAAATGGATTTATGTGTGCGGAAAAAAATTTACCGAACTTAACATTATAAATTTTGTTTAATAGTTTAAAATAAATTTATCTTCTAATTAAAAAATATTCGTGCAATAAAGATAACCTAGCTAATGTTTCTCTTGTGTTATTTGTTCATTTCCTTTTCTAAAGCAGCTCGAAATCCATAAAATAAATCAAAAATCTCATTATTGTCAAC